TCAACTCTTGCTTTTCAGCAATCGACCTAGTCAAAAATCAAATTAAAATTATATATAAAAAGAAATTAATGTGCTTTGATTAAAATAATTGAAAAGAAATGTAGAGTTCATTTCATCGACGCATTTCGTGTTATTTATTAAAAATATTGAAACATTCATCAGAGCGCTGTATTACAATTAAAAGCACAAGCTACGAGTAAAAAGTTCAAAACAGGGAGAAAAATCGAAAAAAAGAAAAAAAAATGGATATCGGAGAACACTCAATTTGGTTGAAAAATTTACAGTCAAAGCATAAATGATAGATAAATTGTAATTCGTAAAGTAATATATGAAGTAAAATATTATTGATCATAACTTATTTTAGTATATTAATAGTAATGTCATATGTGTGGCCTTGTCTTGCAGATATTTATTTTAAAAATGATTTATTGAGATGTATTTATTAATTTAACGAAGGATATTTATCGCATCCGTAATCTTTAATGCTAAATCTATGAGATTGAAACATCAAAATAATTATTAAATTTTTATAAAACTAATCTCATTTAAATAATCCCAAAGTTATAGTATAACAATCTGTATATCCAGGTAATTCTTATGCATCATATTGAATAACTCGACGTTTAGTTGACGGTTGATTTTGTAGTGCTTGTTTATGATTGATCAATAAATTTTGCTTCATAAAGTTGTTTAACCAGTTCCAAAAGTTTTTTATTGATTGACGGATCATTGAATTAATAGAATTGGATCTCATCTAATTTTTGAAAAATACTATAAAAGATTTGTATTTGAAATCAAAATATTTAAAAAATTGATTAGTTTCAGTCGCCTCTCATACGACGCGAGTGTCATATGACGATTAATTTCCATTTATATTGTTTTTAAGACACCTATATTAATAAACAACATAAGCCACGTATATCAAATTAAAACATATAAACATTGATAAAATCAACATAAAACACGTGGATCAATTAAAAATATAGAAACTAATTTTAGACATATCGCTTTTCACTTAATATATATTCATTGTTGCTTGGCTTCGTGCCGTAATATAACCTAAAATAAAATAGAATTCAATTAAATAAAGTAAAAAAAAAAAAAATAAAAACAAAATAAAATAGAGTCAAATGCAATAAAAAACAAAGATAATATAAACACAAAATAAACTGAGATAAAAATACAATAAAAGCAAAATAAAAGAAAACAAATAAAATGAACTAAAATAAAGAGCAATAAAAATATAATAAACAAAATAAAGTATTTATAGATACTTTCATACCATCGGATTTCGTCGGATCCGACAAGTTCCCATTATTGGATATCATCGGATCCTATTATCGAAATCTCATAAAATTCAACGTCGGAAATCTTCGAAAATTAATGAATAATGATGGTTTCTGGCAGCGGGAATCCGGTCGAATCCGACTGTCGGATAGTGTCGGATCTGATAGGATCCGACGGGGTGAATTTGACCTGAGTATTTCATAATAACGGGTGCACCAGAATGAATGAGGGTCTCAGTATTTTTCGAATATCTCTGTTAGTTTTTATTCCTCAGACCTAATTGTTTTTTTAAAAGATGCTTCAAGTGATTCTCTACAAAGTTACACCCTAAGTTTCAGATTTGCTTACATTGTTGTCATTTAAGATTGTAGAAAGTAAAGACTTACAGAAACTCGTACTTTCAAAGTACAAAAATGTGGTGATGGGTCTCCGAAGATCTTTCGTAATCTGAACGGTACCATTAGTCTTGCAACAATCGAACGATAGTACAAAATGATCCGTGGGAGTTGCTCGATCAACCTGTCAAGATTGACCGGTCGGCCACGGATGATTCGAACGAAAGCAGCCATTCACAAAATCAAGCAACGATTGAAGCGACGGAAGAAAGTATCTGCTCATAAACTAGCACATGAATTGGGTATTTCTCAAACAAGTGTTCGGAGAGTGCTCAAGAATGATGTTCAACTCCGCGCTTATAAAATGCAAACTGAACCATTGCTCGTCGATGAGTATAAAGAAAAAAGAATGAAGTTTGCAAATTGAATACGAACAAATTTTCGAAAAGAAGATACAATGAGAATTTTGTTTTCTGACGAGAAAATGTTCGAGATAGGCGGGGTCTATAATTCTCAGAATGACCAAATATGGGCGGCAAATCGTATAGAAGCCAATATCAAAGGTGGTATTAGGTAAAAACGTATGTTTCCACAAAAGATTATGGTCTAGCTAGGAGTTTGTTCTAAAGGAGTGTCACTTTTAGTTATCTTCGAGAATGGCACAGTCGATCACGATCGCTATATCAAAGAAGTGTTGTCAGTAGCTCTGAATTATGGTAACAAAGTGGTTGGCAATGATTGGATCTTCCATCAAGATGGTCCGAAGCCGCACATTCATGAAGAACCACAAGAATGATGTGCCAAAAACTTTCCTTCGTTTATCAACAAGGACCATTGGCCTTCAAACAGTCCTGATTTAAATTCGTTCGACTATAGTGTTTGGAACGAGCTTATTCAAACAATCAAATGGGATAAATTGAAATTGAAAAAGACTCTAATCGCCGAAATAAAACGTTCTGTTAAGAAAATTCATCAAGATGTTGTTTTTGAAAGTTGCTTGTCATGGACAAATCAATTATATCAATTGTTCAAAAACAATGGAACATATTTGTGCTAATAAAAATACTTGATTTTGTAGAGAAATACTTGACACATCTTTTAAAAAAATAATTAAATCTGGAGGATGAAAATTTAGGGAGATATTTGGAAAATACTGAGACTCTCATTCATTATAGGGCACCCGTTATTACGAACGAAAATTCTAGATAAATCCTATTATTTGAATAATTGTTTAAATAATTATAGATATGTATATGATAATATTATTTTTCATAGAATTCACCATCACTAAATAAAACCTAACATGACATAAATATGTCCACTCGAATAGAATATTTCTATATGATATTGATAAGAAAAGAAAAATATTTAACGACTAACAAAGTTAGTAAAATATTCACTTACATTTATACAATGTGTTTGTATTATTCGTCAATGTTTTATTGTTTTTTAACTTTTCAAAATATTCTAGTAAAAGAATATTTTAGCTAAAATAGTGTTCACTTAAATGTTACGTTACTGATCGAAATCATTCTTATTGTTGACAACCATCTCGTTCATGCTGCTAATATTGAAAAAAATCGTATGGATTTTATTTAGCTGGTAAAACTCTTTCAGATCAAGTTACTGAAAATGATTTATCTGTTGGATTTGTTTATCTACTGACTATAAAAATTCGAGATATATCACGAAAAATAGTTGTAGCATTAGCAAAATATGCTTATGAAAAAAATTTAGCAGCTCGTTATTCAAAATCAACCAAATGATTTTGAAAAGTCTATTCAAATAAAACATTAAAAAGGTGAATATGAAAATGTTTTACCATCAGTATAGAATCGTACCATAAAATCAACTTCGACATTGTAGAGTCTTTTTTTAACTTTAATTTGATCATGTGTATTTATTCTATTAAGATGATCTAGAGTTTGTCAATATTTCAAAATGAATTAATTAAGACATTGTTACTCTCGATCACAGATTAGAAATTTCTATTCAAAACCTGCATCAAGCAAGGGCGCATTAACATGAGAGATTAATTACGGTTTGAATATCGAGAGAATAAGAAAAGGTTTTTTTATAAAATCGATTTTTGTTCATTCGATATGTTGTCGAAGATATTGATGATTTTGTTGAATTTAAATGTTGTTCTCTTATTTTACTCTTTAGTTTATTTAATTTGAAACTATGAACAATAAAGAATTGTTGTTTATATCATTGAGTTATTGTTAACACAATCATAACAATAGAATATCTTATTCATAGCTGATCATATATACAGAAACGAAGTTCAGTTAGATGATATTCGGCTGCTTTCCAATGTTGACTTGTAATTATTCTCACAGAATTCCATTAATAGTTTGCTCTTGAAACTCTACTGGCACATATCACAATAAATTATTATTTTAAAATTCATCTAAATCTCGACAAAATAATCGATTGCTGGAAAGCAAACGTCGAGTGCAAGTAGAGTGTATTTGTCTTTTCTTCAGGATAGATAGGTCAGTCTGTTTTTCGATCTGATAATTCACGACGGTAGACAAATTCGAAAAACTAAACAAAGCTTTTGACACGATATCATACATGATATATGAGAATGATCTTATTTTAATGAAGGATAAATAAATAAACGTAAAGAAACAAATTACACTCTTGCATGAAACCGCAAGCACATTACAAAATAACAAAAATTTACACGCCAGCACTGAATCACTTTCATAATCATTCTTGTAAATACAATGTTTTTTTTTGCGTTCATATGCAGTTTAGTAAAAGTCTATTGATTTTACAAATCCATATTAATAATACTTTGGCATTTTAATGCAAATCATCAATGCGTTGACGAAAAGCACATCGCTTTATATGTTATTGTCTTGCACTTATGCGCAACATTTTTGAATATTTGAAATAGCTTCTATCTTCATCAATAAGATAATATGACTTGAAAAAATATTCTACAATTAAACACGAGTTTTTGAAAATTTCCTACGAATATATGCTTTTTTCGAGCTTTCATATTTCACTAGGAAATTTAGTTGTACAAGAAACCATATCGTATTCGCAAAATAAGAAATGTCAGAAATGCAACTTTTATATCTGAAGGAGAGTCAAGGCCAAATCGAACTGATATTCAATGTATGAGAAATCACCTTAACGACATAATGTTTTTATCAAAACAAAATATTATACTCAATAAATACGGCAAAGACTATCGTTAAAATTGCAATTTCATTTGTTCTCATTTTTTTTCTTTTGATAAAAAGATTGTGTACAGGAAAGGAAAAAAGAGTATAAAAGCTGCCACTCGGTTCTTCTACAGCCATTAGTTGAAACAGAGTTGTAAAAGTGATTTCTTGCTTCATTACAAATCATCTTCTACAAATGACTTCATCGTTTCGATATGTTGCTTTCAGCCTCTTCGTTTTCTTAGGTAGGCACATTGAATTCATTATTTATATTGACGAGAAAATTAATAAAGAATGAACAATTCCATTCGTCTATCTTTTAGCCTTGCAACAAGCGGCTTTTGGTTTGATCTGTTATTCATGTTTATCCTGTAACACTGTTGACAGTAATACACCAACAACAAATGTAGATGGCAATCAAGGATTCGCGTGTATGGTGAGTCGTTATAGTTTTCATGTCTATGTGATACGATAAACTTTTTGCTTCAATAACTTTTAGAAAACTATAACGATGGCTGCTGGCACAGTAACTGCGACAAATCGTGGTGCCATACGTAGTTGCTCCGAAGTCAACAGCGTCGTTGCTGGATTTGGTAGCCGAACCACATGCTGTAAATCTGACAGATGTAATTCAGGCATTGCTGTTTCTAGTTCGATCGGGTTAACATTAGTTTTTGTTATCATTGGCAGCATCATTCAAGGCATTTGGAATTACTGAACACTAGATGTTTGGATATAGAAGTTTCGAATAAACTATCTGAGATACTCATACGCTGTTTAATTTCATTCTCATTTCACTGATGTTTTTTCATTTTTCTTAAATATTCTTGAATAAAATACTTGCGCCTATCATATGTTTTGGTATAATCAGTCTTCGTTCAATGATTAAGTTTCAACTAAGATATGGCACGATCAATGATTGATGATCAAAAAGATATCGAAACGAAGCGAAATCAATCGCAATGTCAACATCTTGATGTGAACTCATAAGAAAGAAAAATACAACTCTGAAATTCGTTGTTATTGATATATAGATTTATTTCATTCTTAAGCTATAGATCGAATTACCAACTAAGTCCCAATTAAGATTCTTCTCGCGTGTTGAAATCAATATTTGATTTCTTTGGACAAATATTTTCAATGAGAAGAAAAATCAATGCGATTCAATTTTTTTGTTGATAAAAAATATTCCATTGCACTGAAAATCTACGTCTAAAACCTTTTTCTTTATACTTTTTAACTATTCCATGTTGGTTAGACTATCTAAAAAAATATATTCTTCTGCTGTCTTATCATTTGAAATAGGGTTTCAAGAGAAATATGTGTTGATTTGGTTGTTTGGACTGAAATTTTGATGAAAAGCTGATGAATATTTCACGTAGTCTTGGTCGACAACCACTCAATGCATCTCCCTCTTTCCAGTATCAACAAAACATTTTCCTATTTCCACGACAAGATGTATTCTTGCGTATTTATGATTATTACTCATCTCTCAAAGCAATTTCGACTGATTTGTTTCTCTTGTTTTGCAGAAATACAATACAATTGAGAGTGTGTGAATGTGGCTGTGGGATGTGACTGGCTAGGAATATATGAGGTGTGGCTGGGTGTGGGTGTAGGGTGGGTTCTGAGTGCTAGTGTCGGGTTAGATTATAGGTGTGAGTGTAGGGTGTGACTGTGTGTACGAGTATTAGCTTTACTTAAGAATCAAATACTCAGACCCAGATCCAGACCCACACCCAAGTGTAATTATTGGATTATTTATATTTCCTAGAAAAATATTACGGTTCAAAAGCATGGCAATAAAGAATTCTCCATGTAAAAATGGGATACTAAACAAGTCGGATGTTTCTAGAGTCAAGTTTAATAAAACGAATTTTTCCTGTATATTATTATATTGAAACACATATCGTAGAAATACCATAGTTTTGTTGACTTTTCGCTTTAAATGTTGTACAATCACTTATTAACATCAATCATATTAAGAGAAATTAATTAAAAATATTGAAAACAAGAGGCTGTGAAAATTTGTAGGTGGGGATGACATAAAAAAGATGTATTCTAGAGGATCTTAAAAACTGTTTAAATTATATATTTGTGAATCTCTGAAAGAATATTCTAAAAGAAGGATATCAAAATGAAAATTTTCCATGATAAGAGAGATTTTACCAAATCTCACTTTTCTCAAAGCAAATTTATTAAAATAAGTTTTATTCATGCAAGATATTATATTTAATCATTCTAGATCAAAAGCTAAATCGAAGAAACGAAATTTCGGTCGAAAAAATGAGAAAAACTATTTTTTTGACATGGATATGTGCTTTCATCAAAAGATAAATTAATTTGTCTTTATTTCTCGTTCAAACTTCAGTATTTTGAAGAAAAAATCATTGATCTCTTTTTAATTTGAGCCATTCTCTCATTCTACACCAAAAATAATCAAGTAAACAAAATTTCTTTGGAAAAGATAAAAATAAACAGAGTCCATTTATGTTCATATGTTCGGTAGATTGGCGACAAATTTTGGGTGTGGATGTGAGTATGGGTGTCGATGTATGGGTGTGGATGTCGGTCATTGCTTCGTCCACATCCCACACCTACACTCACTCACACCCACACCCGCACCCTATATCTACAGCCACAGTCACACTCACTCCCCACCCTCACACAATGTCATCAATTATTGTATTCTACCTTCTACTTCTGACAGTAGTTATAGTATCATTTGTCAAAGCTGTGCCTGTTACAGAAAACATTGTTCATTCATGTGATACAGAATATTATGAATACACACTGTGTTCCGCGTCAATTAGCTCTCCAAGTAGTCATAAGGACACAAAATTTGATTTGACCAACGGCAACATTTCACGAACATGTATATCAGTCCATCTTTTCTGGAACTATCCAGGTGCGAACTTGACGACAATCATTGACACACCATTTACTTAGGAAAAACAAGTCTACAAGCTTTATATTGATAATGAGCAATTGAAACCTTATATATCACATGTTTATCGAGTATTGAATGGTCAAGAAACAAGTGACAACTACTGATAAAACACTTATTCAATATTTCGATGGCAACTGTAAAATGATTCACAAGTTTGAAGGTCCATCCACGTTGTATTATTATGGCGTTTTTTTATCAATTACAATATTACCATCATGTTGTGAGAAAAATGTTTGTCTGTGATGTTCACAATAAAAATTAAAAAAATGAAACATAATTTCAATGATAAATCATTGAACTTTAGGAAGAAATATTACAATAAAAGTTAGTTGACAATATATGATGAAGTCATGAAAAGAAGCTCTCTAATGTTTATTCATATCGAAAACCAGTTGTCTTGAGAAACGTAAAACTTTTATTAAACGTCGCTGTTCGAATATGCTTTGTGATTGTGATGAGGGAATGAGGCAAGTTTGTCTTTTGAAACTTAATCATATCGATTCTTGCATATCTGTTACAATTACTTTAGTTTTGTCATTCTTTTTTACATCATTTCCTTTCTTAATTCTCATATAAATATTGATTTTTTCCATCTTCCAAGCTGCCACTCGATGAATATTTCGAGGCATTAGTCTGATAGTTCGATGCCAACAAAGGATCTATTTCTGATGAATTTCGATGGATTCAATTTCAAAAAAGTTTCGTTTCCTATATCTTATTGTCTTGCGAGTCTTCAATACCTATCAGATATTTTTGCAAAAATCATAAAACTATATAAAGCCATGGAGCAAACAAAAAACTCTCTGATCACATCATGAAAGAAAAGAAAAGAACTACTCGAAAATCGAGTTTTGAAGAAGTTTTCAACGATCAAAATTAAAACGAACAAAGGAATTATTTTTTCAAGAAGTTTGCTCTTGCTGATGGGTCTCCTCTCTTCGAATAGTCGGTGTTTTGATGGGTTTTGGGCGATCGAAAATAAGTATGCGATGGGCATCGAGAACTCAAAATTTGAAGTTCGAATTTCGAACAGAAGACAAAAAAAATTGTCAAAATTTCATTACTCGTCGTACCTATCCTTAGCTTTTTTAGGCCTGCTTGGGTGTGGCCTCCAGATAGTATTCAAAAATTGGAATCATTTGAATGATCAAATCCCTGGAATACGGAACCCGTGATTTTTCGATCTGTGACCGGGTTCAGTGCATGTCTATTGATGATTATCAATGAAATAAATTATGACAGAGTAAAATCTGAATTTTTGCTGAATTTATCAACGAAAAACTCAGATAACATTTACGTGGTAACCATAAATGAGTAATTGGATATGTATGATTGTTTGACATCACTATTTTTATAGAAATCGAAATCGAGCTAAAGACTTGTCTTTTTATTTTCTAATGATTAAATTAAAGCTTCTTCAATTATTAATGAGTTATACGTATGAAAAGAAAGACCGTATAATTTGATACTTTGACTGTCAATTATAGATCTTTCAATTTTTTAGCGTGACTCAATGAGCATAAAGATTAAACAGTTTCACTTAAGATTCTTTCCTTAAAATGAATTTCTATTTAACAAGGTCCGTTCGAGCTAAAATTCTCAGAGATAAGTGGGCCTAGTAAGAAGCTTCTGTGGTAAAAATTCTAGATCAAACTAGACCGGAATTCCAGGTTATTGATAGTCCATTTACGTATGTCATCAAGAGAGCTTCGGAACTCAGAACGGTTTCAAATTGAAGCTAACACCTCCACACAACTTTTATCCGACCAGAAATTTGAAGTTCGCTTCCATTGATTTTCTATAAATATTTTAGTGAACTTGTGTCAAAATAAGGCTAAAAAAGCTGATCCCTCCATAATATGAAATCCCACTTTTCTCAGTCTAGAAATCAAATAGAAGAAATCTAGTCGAACAAGAATTTACTCTCACTCAGAACTTAAAAATCAAAACAAATACTAATTATATCTTGATCCGTTTAGTTTAGAAATCGATTTGTTTTTCAGGTAAAAATACATAAAAAAGGCATATTTACAATACACTTTATATTTTCTTTATGCTCTTGTCTTTTTGTTGTTCTCTTTTTATGGCAACTTATTATGCGCATTGTATAATTCCTATGAATAAACTTGAGCATAGTTTATTTAAATTAAATTAACACAACATTTTGAAAGTAAATAAAAAGTCGATTCTCGCAAAAAGTTTTAGCATTTTGTAAATTTTATGTCCAGTGTCAAAATGTAAATATGTTACCCTGATCCTAACTGTTTTGGTGTCGTACCTCACTGTTTTATTAATGTTCTAAACTGCGACAATTTGTAGCTGATTTACTTTTATTAGATTTGTTTTTTATGTCTTTAGGAAAAAAAGATTCGCTTTTGAATAAGATAGACAAGTTTATTTCTTCAAATAATTTCAAGTTTGACATGTCCCAATCCATATTTATTTTTATTCTCTACAAATAATTGTTCAACTGCTTGAAGATATTCATTGTGAAGTTGATTAATATCGTTAGAAGTTGGATGATCAATTTGAACAACATGAATTGGTTTACCAACTGAAATTATCTTTTTACTATTTTACCTATTAACAAATAACTCAAACGCTTACCAACAGTGGTAACGGGATGCCGCAACGGTAGCAGTCCCAGAATAAATTGACCCCAGGGAACACAATTAGGTATTAACCCGAAAAAAGTATGCCGTTTGTACAGTTCATTTTCTCCGAAGGAAATAACAGGTACAATGGAAGCACTATAATAATGGCACACGCAAAAGAATTTTGTAGAGATTAATCAATGTAAAACTACCCATATTTCAAAGTCAGTTGAATGAAACCTTTTCTTGTCTTCAGATAAAGTATCATTGTGTCATTTCGTGACAATATTACTTCTCGCTGACCACCAATAATAATAACCAATGCGTTTCCTCGACCACATTTTCCACTCAATAAATACTCACAACTGTTACGTGATACACAGCATGCCCCTCAAAATAGACATCAAATATGACTGTATATATGGTTGAATACTCACCCGATCCTAGTAAAATATCGCGTGTAAATGGATTGAAAAATTGCATTCGAAGAAGCATCAAATGTGGACGAATGTTTGGAAAGAGAATAGAAAAATGTGTTGCATCCGTACCAAAATTGCCTAATGCACTAAATGATCCTATACCATGTGGATGATAACCAAATATATAATTTCGATTTGAATCGAGATCCATAGTTTTAATTAATGTAAGAGGAAAATATTGTATCCATCGTGTCCAAATATAACATTGACGAAGACAATCCGACCATCGACCTCCTTCTGAATTAGTATGACGATCAATGAACAGCCAACAACAATAGATTAACGAAAGACTAAGAATTATAGTCGAAGATCAAGCCCATGATAAGAAAATAATCGCTAATGGTACAATGATCGGTGAAAATGCACAAAATGAGGTAATGGAACTGAAGATTATAAATTGAATAATTCGTTAAAAATCCATCATCTGAAAGCATATATACCAGATCTTCTTATCGTTTGAATTTGATTCATTCGAATTATCTCGTTTCAAGACTAATTAACTGGATTAAAGCAACATAAAAAAATCAGAATAAGTAGATTCTCCGCAAAGAAAATAATATTATTTAGAGTTAAACGCATCGCTGACCTTGAATATTTCAATATATTCAAGTACTTGACTCTCGAAAGTATTTATTAGGGAAAACAGGTTTGTTGAATATTCAGTCGTTATTCTACAGTCTCTTTTTTTCATAGATCGCTGGAGCAGACAGACAGCGAAGGAATATGTTCGATCTGTTTTGTAGAATGTATAACAGGTTTTTATTAAGAGTGATATTCGAACTGACAACAATGTCAATGTCACAACGAGCGTCAGCTACTTAGTGGCAGAGTGACGTCGATATTTTTCTTGACATTGTCAACGAATCTGTCTGAAGGAAAAAGAAAAAAATAACAAGATATATGTTCGTCTATTCTGCGTATCAACACTCACTGAGGAGATACAAAAAAAAGATGTCGTATAATATTAGCATTAATGTCACTCTTAAATCAATGCTAGCATACGTGTAGCCAGAAGAGGAAAAGAAGCATTATATCGTATACTTTTTTTTCGTATCTCTCTATAATCTAGGCAGCCTTGGAGAAACGAACTAGCAGAACAAAATAAATGCTTATGCAAATTGTCAGGGAAAATACCCACTTGTTGATGCATATCATTCATATATAAGCAGTGCTATCCCAATGAACTATTTTCATCTATGTAAGAGGCATGTCACTCACATGCCTTTAGATCGCTTTAGTAATGTGCGTGTATTTTTTTTATTCATCCAAGCTATACAGTTAAATCGTGTTTACATACAATGTGTAATACCTGCTTACGTGTGGCAATTGCGACGAAAATTCGGCTGCAATAAGAAATATTCGTTTGTCCTAAATGTCCCGATTTGGAAAAATGTCAAAATCGTCTTGGAATAATGATTGAACAAAATCGCATTCGTGAACAACACAAAGCTGCATCGGTTAGTCGAAAACAACTTTCGTCTCTTTCATTGATTTTAAAATATGATTGTCGAAACGTTGTTCCAAGAGTTGATGAATCTATTAAAGATATTACCGATTTAAATGAACGACAACGAATCAAAAAAGTTCTGGTTCCTGTTAATTGAACCGGTAGAAACGAAAAAGATTGAAAATTGCTACGCCGACAATGCACTCAATACGAATATCATCGTCAATTGTCGTACGTCTGAAGCCACGTCGAATTCAACTTGGTCCACGAAATGAAACTTCAAGGAGGCTTATTCGTCGAAAAAGTTCATCTAGAAAAGTTATTGATTCAACAGAAAGTCGTGAGCGAACAAGAATGCGACAGAGTAGACCAACAATCCAAACATGGACGAGAAAGTTCATGAGTTAAGCGATTGCAATCCTCAGTCAAACTCAATATCGAAATTGAATCCGATGCATTTTGGCCTTATGGAACCGAATTGTGGCATATTCACGATGTCAAACCACGACGACCGTCAAATACCGAGAAAATTAGCTTCGAACATTGCATCAGGCGTAATTTATCTTATCAACTAAATGAAAAATTATTGGCTCATGCAGTTTCCAAGAAAATAAAAAATATTTCAGAAGAACAGTCTAAAAAAAGCTTTTGACAAATTGTTGGAAAGAATAGAACTTTGTATAAATAAATATGGTGACTATGTTGAATATTTAATAAAATAAAACCGGAACTTTGTCCTTCACTTTACATTTTTTTTTAATGATTTCAGAACTTTTGATCAGACCTATGTATATGCCATTACGTAACTCAATGGTGCTATTTCAAACTCATTATTCAGTCATTCGGTATCAAATCGGTAATTGATTATTATCATTATATCGAGGAAGAACAAGCACATGATTATATAAAAAAATTTCTCGATTCATTTTAATTCGGTCGTACCAATTTGGCAATCATTTCCAATTGATTATTTTTTTAAACAATCAATCAATTCGATTTTCAACATAACGTTTTTTTCTGCGGAATCTTTTTTTCTTTGGTCGCACGATTGGTGCCTAACAACTGTTATCAGTATCGTTTCGTTGATCGAAAACATGGTTGTAGAACTGAGTCACCGTTCGCATCGTATTGAACTTTCATACAATCTTTCAATTCCTTGTGCATCTACAACTAATTCCGCTTCAGTTATAACTGTTCTCAATGCTCTAAAGTTCTGATGAACTTCCACTTGCATAATTTTTTTATTTTTATTTGTTTTCTTACGCACCACTATTTGTTTCTTTTTCGTTGTGTTGACGTACACACTTGAGGGTGTGGATAAGTGTGCGTGTCTGAGTGTGGGCGTTAGTATTCTACATACTCGCACCCACCCACATCCTCATAATTGTATGATATATACTTAAGAAGCCTTTAGTGCTTCTTTAGATATATAGATATGGTCGTATTTGTTTGAATCTATCTGTATTTCCGTGAGATAATGAAAAGATTGCTTACTTTTGAAATCTTTATTTTTTATATTATTATATTCATCCTCACCCTCAAGATGAGAAGATATCTGAAGGCGCATATTCTTGTCCTTGCACAATACTTCAGAGCAGTTATTAGATTAACTTCGATGTAAACATTGTCGAATAACAATTTGTAATTCTTTTCTATAAGTATCCGAAGGGAAGATGTAAACAAGAGGAATTAATAATGATGGTAAAAATGAAATAAAATATTCAAAGAGAAATAACCATGGATTACGAACAGATTTCATGCATCCAGATGGAAATGAAATTATAAGACGAGGTACACCGATAATAACAAGTACAAATGGACTAATAATCAGATGCTTATATTCATGAAACTGTTCCCGTAAATATTGCTTATATATCTGCTTGTTACGAGCATTCAAATGTGTTCGAGGTGCTAACATAATGATCATAATAGTTGAGATAAGATTAATAGAAAATGGAGTAATAAAATGAACAAGATATAGGGCAGAATCATAAATTTGTAGTTTTGATGAATATCGAGCAATACACCATGTTCGCTCTTCTTCTTTGTCATGTATTAATCTTCGATGCACTGAATCTTGAATACCACTAGTAAAACAAAAGATTATCACTCCGAGAGTAATCCATGGAGCGATTTTTTTGCTTCTCTTTTTATTGAAATTTGCACCTTTTATTATTAAAAATGTTCTTTCAATAGCCACACATGCAGTAAACCAATCTCCAATAGCTGATAAAGATAGAAGTGTAAATTCTATTGAACTGCAATTGATCGAAAGAATGATATGATCTGTAATCCATAGGGATTGAGTAACAATCAGTAACCATCTTGGGTGTGGGTGTGGGTGTGGGTTTTCATCTTCTTCTACCCACACCCTCAAGTAAACTTAATTCGTTTTACTCATATGATAATGTTCTCTAACAATAATAAGACAGTCGGTTATGGATGTGCTGATGAGAAAATCGTTTTTTGAGTTCGAACTCTATGTATAAGGTAGATCCCAGTGAGGTGTAAAAAATACCCAAGAGGATAAACGTCCTTAGGGCAGTTCTCGAAAGTTATAGCCATTTTACTGCAATTTTAACTTATGACACAGTATGTGTACCAAAAAATTGAATAATGATATTTCTACCTGAAATTTCGTCCACAGATATGTCTACTTGTGACTAGAATGTTTCTTTCACGAAATATTGACTAATATCCGACGAAAGATGCCAGAATTTCATGTTTTCTTTTGAACGAAAATTGTCAGAGAATTCCGATCACAAGTGGATGTATGTATGAACAAAATCTCAGGTCGAAATACCGTCATTCGATTTGTTGGTACACACTGTATAAGAGGCTAAAAGACCTTAGAGTACTTATCCTTTTGTGGATTTTTCATACCTTGCTGGATTCTACCCTATTCAGAATCTTCGAGCCCAGAAAAGCTTTATCAGTTGAAATGGTTCTCTTGTCGGTACAGTTACTCTTGTGTTCTTCTCCTCTTTTTTTTTTACATTGATCGTGTTTCACATTTTCTTATTTTATTTTGTCACTGTTGATGAAGATTTTCTTTTTTGTTTGACATTATATAGACGTTCATTTCTAGTAATAAAAGATCGAGAAGAGAAAGAAGTTTAGTAGGGAATTATTATAGATGAGAATTGTTTGTTTGAACGGTATGATGGAAAAAGGAAGAAAGGAAAAATATCGAAAGTGAAAATATAGAAGAAAACGAGGAAAAATATCGAAAGAGAAAGATATCGAATAAGAAAACAGCGAAAAGAAAAATGTCGAAAGAAAAGAATAAATAGTCGTAAGACGTCACTATGAGACATTCGTAGAAAATTTATTATTTATTTGGTTGGCTGATGCATTTAAAAGTGTTTATTCTTTCAATAATGCGCATGAATATAAACGAATATAATAGATAAATATGAAGCATAAGTGTTTAATTAGTTTCTCTTTGGTACTTCATTAACAATGTTTGTACTAATGGAGTTTGAATTGATGATTGTCAATAGTTAAAGAGACACGAATTGGTTTTCAGTTATTTTAGATATTATGACTACTCCTAATGAAATATCATTTATCGTTTCTCAAAAAGGAAAAAAAATGTTGAATATAAACAATTTCATCTTTAAATTGAATAAGACAACAGGTACAACAAAATATTATCGATGTGAAGACTCACGTTGTACTGTTACTGCACGTACTGATCTTCAAGATACTCTTTTGAACATTAAAGGTGATCATTGTCATCCACCTGAACCAGAAGAAATTCAAATTCGAACATTCAAACAAGTTGTCAAAGCACGTGCTATAAGTGAAAGTACACCAATTCCACAAATTTATGATGAAGAAGCTGCTCGAATGGATTTATCAACATTATCAATTGCTGCTTTACCATCTCAGAGAGAACTTAGTTAGAAAAAAATTTTATTTTTTTTTTGCTTAAAGCATATATATTTTCCAGGTAGCACACTAAATAAAGCACGTCGTCTACAAACACCACCTATTCCTAATTCTCAATTATTTGATTTACCAGAATCTTATAAAAAAACATTGAAAAATTTACCTTTTCTTTGTATCGATCAGATTATAAAAAGAAAAACTCGAATATTGGTGTTTGCATCTAACGAACAATTGAAATTATTATTTAATAGCTCAGTCATATTGATGGATGGTACCTTCTCATCATCTCCTCCGATTTTTGATCAAGTATATTGCATACACGCAATTAAATTTGAACAATGTGAATATGAGTTTTTTCTTAAATAAATTTTTAAGTACTTTTGTTTTTCACAGCATTTGTGTGTGTTTTTGCTCTCTTACCTGATCGAAAAAAATCTACATACAAGTATTTGTTTCATGAATTGCATGATAGAGCTGCTCAACTTAATATGATTTTTAATCCATGTACAATTATGTCAGACTTTGAAGGAACATTAGCTGAAGTACTTAAAGCTGAAGTACGTATTGTTTAATTTAAATTTCAACAAATACTGTAGTACTGTCTGTCTAGTTTCCTAATAGTGAACATGTCGGATGTTTCTTTCACTATACCCAATCGATCTATCGAAATATTCAACAATTAGGTTTATCTTCTCAATATGCTCGTGATGATGAATTTCGAAATACTTGTCGAAAACTTATGGCACTTGCTTTAATGCCTATTTCATTAGTACTACAATCATATGATGATGTTCATGATGGAGTTCTTGAATCATCATCGACGAAATTTAATCTACTTAAACCTCTTTTTACTTATTTCGAAAATCAATGGATAAAAAATGTTGGTATTGAAAAATGGAATGTTTATGGAATTCAAATGAGAACAAATAATAACGCCGAAGGTTTGAAGATCCAAAATAGTATTAATATGTTGCTGTTTTTCATAAGCTTATAGGGTACCACAATCGTCTTAATTCACGAATATCTAAATACCATCCGAACATATGGGCCTTCATAAGATGTATTCAGGGTGAGGAAAATAGGTTCAATCATTTATTAATACAAATGAAAGGTGGCCTCACAGCTCGACCGAAAACAAAAAAAACTCTTGCTATTCAACATCGAATTGATACATTATATGTTCGTTATAATAATGGTGATGTTAATGCTAATGAACTTCTTGATGGACTATCGTACGTTGTTGCAAAAAATGTTGAATCAAAAAGGAAATGAAGAATCATTATTTTGTGTGAAGTGACATTTACTCTAAGTCATTATTATATTTCATAATTATTTCTTATCTACTTAATAAAGCTTATCATAAATTTATACATATGCATACAAATTTATCACGAATTTATATATATATATATATTTGTCAGTAATTTGTCTATATATATATATATATCATGTCTTATTTAGACATTCTAATTTTCGATATTTTTCCTCTTCGCTATTTTCTCTTCGATATTTTTTCATTCGCTGTTTTTCCTTTTCTATATTTTCTTTTCTATATTTTTCTTCTACATTTTTCCTTTCGACATTTTTCCTTTCTTCCTTTTTCCATCCATTCGTTTGAACATGGTCTGAAAATATAAATTTCTTCTGATTAACAATCATTGCTCAATATTTGTAAGAATCTTTGAAAAAAAGAATTATTTGACCGAATCTTTTTAGTTTTTTAAAAGTAAAACAAAGTCAATGGTTTTTTTTTTGTATTCAAGAAGAAAATTTCTATAAGCTCAAAACAATTTTCGATTAAAATTCTCATAAAGAATTTTTTATTAATTGCTTTATTTAACAAAAAGTCTTTGCTTTTTAGAATCTTTTCAATAATAATTATTTCAAAAATAAAGCAAATATTTTTATTATTGAATATATTCAATGCAGCATCTATTTCGCAGCAAAAATTTTTTATACGAAAATGTAATAATAATCTGACTACAAAGAGATTCGTTATGTATTATAATTGTAAATCCATTTATATATATATGTTGTATATAGTTACGATCTATATGACATTATAGAACGGAAGAAAAAAAAACACATTAGTGGAAGGATATAATAATAATGACGAAAAAAAGGAAGGAGAAAAAGTCATGATTTTGTATTGAAAAAAAAAACGATTTCTAATCATAATTGAATAGTGCGTTACAAATAAATCCATCTATTACTCACATTTAAGATCAGTAGATGGTTGAATATTGATTATAAACAGTTTCTATTAGCAATACTACAGCGCATTCGTACGTTCAATTAGAAGGATGATATTTATGCAGAACTATTTGAGTAAGTTTCTATTGTTTTCACAGATCGAAAACAACACTGTGAATGTAACACTTGTTGTTCTCTGTCATCGTACATCTATTTTTGATTGGCAAGTCAAATTATTCAATCCACTTTTACTGAAGTTAAGTGAGGAATTTTGATTGTTTGAGTAAAATTTTTCTCGTCTTTCATAATGAGATATTCTTCAATTAGTGTGTGTTGTATTGAGATACTTGTTCATTTTAGATACATTGTCTTTCTTCATCGACACATTACTCAACCATTTTCAAACAAAGTTCTTACGATACCGAATCAAAAATCGCATTATAGAAGAATAACTAAATTTGATCGTATATCTTCAGTAAGAGACAAAGAGAGTGAGAAATATTCCATGACATCAAAAGCTCAATCGTCAACAAGAGAAACGAGTGACTTTTATAAAGCATGCTCAATCAATGATATTCCTCTGATAAAATCGTATTTAGCACGTATGACTGTGGATGAAATCAATCGAATCGAACCTAATGGAAGTACAGGATTGCAGATAGCATCCTATCATAACAATGCAGCTATTGTACATCTATTAATTAAACATGGAGCTTCAGTTTCAATTCAAAATGATTCAACAAAACTTACTCCATACGAAGAGACAACTTCTTCTTATATAAAACATCTTCTAACAAGTACAGGTAATAAAGCATGGATTGAATGGACTTTTGTGGATCCACCGACACGTGAAACAAAACAAATATTCGATACAGAATTAGAGAATAGATTTCATAACATGGGTTTATCATTTATACTCAATTATTTGCTAAATCACTATGCTCGTGGATATGTTGCAAAAGCATCTCCGAAATCAGCCAAACAAATTGAACAGTAAGTAATGCATTCGAACAGAATTTCTTAAAAAAAGAATATGACAAATATTAAATCCTATTAATATTCAATATAAGTATTAGTCATTTTGTTTCAGTATCAAAGAAACGATTAATTATAGTTAAATACATCTCAATAGTATTCTTTATCGATATTATACTCTTTTTATTTCGTCAAAAGATTTATAGCATAATAAAGTATTATTTGAAGCATTTCCAGTGAATACTATATAACTATTATAAATTTAAGTAGAACAGTTAAAAAGACTGGATTTTTATTATTATTCCATTCATACATTATTTTATTTTATTAGATCAATATTTGTTGTCAATTCATATTAACTATTATTCATTTCAAAAAAGAATGAACTCGCTTGTTTGTTAAATAACTCGGCAATACTGAAAGCCATTTTGTCGTTCGAAAGAGCATAAATGGGGTACAATTTCACCTAAGAATCAAAATACTTGAAAAGCTTTCTAGGGGGTTTAAGGAACTTTTTAGAAAATCACTGTCTGATTTACTTGATTAGATGTATTTTCAAGTGAAATTGAAAATCCAATATCACCGAGAAAGGAATGTCCTTTTTGGCTGAAACTTTTAATATATTCTATGGACAAATTTTCAGGTTAAAATTTTATAATTTCATTTTCCAGTGAATATCTAAGAAAGGGTCGAAAGTTCAGTAAAAATGGTCAGCATTTTTTAAGAAAAGATCGAAAACGCCTAAAAATTTCGAGGTTTATAAAGTAGACATTGGGCTACAATATGGTTAAATTAAGATTCTCAGGTAGACTTGTATCCACATTCATGCACTTCCTAACGACACAAAACCGAACTCGATAGCTATCAGCATTGTCAAGTTATTCAATAAAAAACAAGCGAGTCCATTCTTTTTTTAAATGGATAATAGGTTCTTTTACAATAAATGCTCTATGTTTTCTTTAGAACATTATTCAAACAGAACTATTCCTAATGAGTTCGTCCCTAACTAATCATTCATCCCATCAACTCGTTGAATCGAATTTTGTTAGGTGAAAAACTTGCGTGCTTTTATCAAGATGTATTATTTAGAAGACGATTCTCGATTAAATAACTCTTTTAGCTGATAAACTTACATATAGTCTGTGTAGATACACTAAAAAAAAATGACTACTAGTCTTTAATATAGTACGAAGTCAACCAAATGTGTTAAAAATTAGTATTTGTTGGTTTTCAATGTTGTTCATTCAAATGAAGATGCCGAAGAGAAGAATGAGATTTTAATCAATGTATCAGTTTCTCAAATGATTCTTGATAATTGAATGAATATTGATTTTGATAATCGACAAAAGCACGATACATAACCAACGAAGAATTTTTTCATGAAAAAAAAAACATTCTAAACTCTTTTATGTATACTCTATGAATGGTGCTAATGAAATTATTTAAGAAAGAAAAGAATTTTTTCCTATCCCATTGAAATGTCAAGCAAATATTAGAATGCTTTAAAAGAGCAGTCTATCCAAGCCGAACCATATTGCGAATGTACTACTTAGTTTTTCGTTTCAATTTCATCCAATTAGAAATATAATAAAAGTAATGAAAGAATATTTTATTTTCATCATGATTTACTTTTATCGATTAAATTTTGTTCTTCATATGGAATCACATAGATATTTCGAAGAAGCACAAATGCACACAAATTTGACTCCACTGATAAAGGCATATACTGCACCTTCAATTTATTTTTTCAAGATTGTCTCGCAACATTGCATTGAAGTTCTTCCTGACCTTCTGAAAATTCCATTCGAACCACAGAATACTTTGGCTGCCAGTATTTTTTACTTACTTGCCGCATATAACTATGATCCAATGCTTCGACCAAGATATGCATATATTGGTCATGTTTATCGAGGTATAAGAATGAGTTTGGACTGTTTTCTTACTTACAAGAAGAATGAACTAGTGGTAAATCGACCGTTTGTTTCAACGTCGAAAGATCGTAATATTATGGAACAATTTAGTGGTTATGGTGCATCCAGTGTATTTCGAAGAAGTTATTCTAGTCAAACTTCATTAGAAATTAGCGTTCGATGTACCTATAAGATTCGTCGTCCAGAAACACGTGCAATCGATATCACAAAAATGTCAGTATTTGAATACGAACAAGAGGTACTTCTTATGCCCATAAGTATCTTTCGATTGGTTAGTATTGATCATAATGCAAATGAAAATGTAGCTGATATCGTACTCGAAGATTGTGATCTACCATCTAAATATGATCCCGTCGCGCCAATAGTTCGATGTGATTTTACTGAATTTTCAAATACTTTATTGGTTGCGCCTTTCGTGCAGGTATGAACTTCTCTGAAATTATTATTAGGAACTATTTAGATTATCAATCAGTATGTATATGAAGAAAAAATTTCAAACGAAATGTCCTTGAAAGAATTATTACTAGAAATTTTTCAATATGAGATAGATCTTTCTTATTATAAACTACAATTGTTAGAGAGAAAAAGGGAATCGAGTACAACTTAGACATCTTTTTATGTATAGATAGGTTTTACATGATATGATAAACATTACGATTTTATTTAGTTGATACCTTTCAACTCACACGCTGCTCCAACTATCATTCGAAGCTCAACTGATTGGAGGAGACGATTGGCAACCATCATCATCAACATGTCGAACAGAACTGTCATTATTCTGATCGTATTGATCATCATTGTTTTTATTCTCGTGCTGTTGGCTATTCTTCTGCCAAATTTATTACGTACTCCATGCAATAACAATTCTTCGACAGTACCATCTCCAGAGAGGAGTACAAATACTCCAAACCTATTTCAATAAAAGGAACATTAATAAAAATAATTCGAAGTAAAGCTTTTCTAAATATTGTTGTATCTGATTTATAAGAACAAAAAAACGAGATATATGATGATACAGTTCCAGCATAACTACAAAGTACTTTATTTATGATTTTTTTTTGAAAGATTTTATGCTTTCTCTTAAGTTTTGAAATGAAAGATGATCTTGTAGCAGTAAACGCTGCAAGATTTCATCAGCACACTCGTGATTCTGTAACACTACCGTTTATCACAATATGTAGGATATATAGTATTAAATTGTTATGTATTGAATAATCATATTTACATTATTAAAATAAGTGTCAACGACTGAATTTCTACTTCTACCACAATTTCTTTATATTAAGCAAGATCTGTCTAGATAAATACAGCAAAACTTCTCTATTGTAAACACCACCAGGACCATTCAAAAGTGTTCATTTTAGAGAGTTGACACATAATTTGCTGCTAAATGAAGAGAAAGTTGTAGGAAAACTGCTTCTGCATTAGTCCAGGATAAAGGTCTAGTTATTTGTTTTCTTATCCATCTATATACATCTAGAGGATTTCAATTGAAAATTTTTTGCAAAAGTCTCTAATGTTGATTGTCGTTTTGCTTTCGAATTGAAATACACTACTGGCCAAAAGTATCGCCTCTCCTCTCCTCGGATCTCAGTTAATACAAGAACTGTAGCTCTAAAAACCGTGTATGTATATAGTTTTCGATGAATGTCGTAGATCAGCAACAAAATCCGCGCTCTTGTTGCATGAGGCTTAATACAGCAATAATCCGGGCGATCTATTATCCATTGTGTACTTCATAACTCAGGAAAGGAAAATACTTTATGAATCCAAAGTCCTCTCATTTTATAGTCCTATACTCTTGCTATATATAGTGAAAATTTTATTGAAACTCATCGATCTGTTATGAAGCTAGGAGCATTTTATTGTAAATACCAATGTACGGAAAAACCGTCCGATCTCATTATGTAAGTCATAATTCTGTGAAGATTTGATCAATCAACTTCAAACTTACAGAAAAATACTTCTCTATATTCATCCATTGCTTTCTGAAACTTTCATACATATATCATTTACTAGAGATCAATAAAGATATTTCTATATATTTAAGCAATTGATCTCATACCTAACATGCTTACGAGCACATTTCTAACAAAGAAAAATTTTAAAATTCATCAGGTATCATGGAAAACAAGACATAAACTTCAGTGATGCATTTTCTACTCATTACAGTAAAATTGAGTAAGAATAGGAATGTGATTGATTGAATAGATGAAAAGAAGAATCACACGGACGCTTATACTGAAAGCCACACCCTTATGCACATTAACATTCACAGTCATACTCGCATTCATCATCATTCATACATGTGAGGATATATTCGAAATGATAATTACGTTTCTATAAAGTATATTTTTAAGTAAATGATATACTGTCTAACCTTTCTTCAGAATTTTTTTTATTCCATGTGAGTAAATTTCGACACAATAGCCAGAACATACAAAAAAACCTTTGCAAAAAGTACACTGTTATTGCACAACCAAATGCAATTTTATATAACAGAGACATTAAGAGTACGTAAAAAAGATAAAGAAAAGCATTTGAAGATATATA